ATTGACAAGGAATTATGTATATTCATTAATATATACTTAATAGCTCTGTTATATAACATTGAACATTGTTTTTACAACAACTGAGAAAATATATATGTACGTGCAAGTATATGTGCATATACGTATGTTTTTATCATAATATATATATATATATATATATATATATATATATATATATATATATATATAATAAACAAATACAATAGTGCTGAATTACTGTCATATCCGTCTTCCTGTACCACACTGAATGCTTTACAATTTCATTACAAATGAAGAAGAAACTAGATGTGACAGAGGTATGACTCTACGGAGAAATGCTAAGAATACCAAAACCAATGAATCGTGAGCCACAAGGATGCTCTAAAATGGGACCTAGACTGACACATGCAATTAAAATCAGGAAAAACAACTGAAATTTCTTGTACGCATTATGAGGAAAGAAGGCTTGGAAAATTTAACTCTGAGGAAAACAGTGCGTAACCTACCTAATGAATTTTGGTGGATGGATGACAGATCAGTGACAAAGACATATGGTGAATTTTCAAAAATGGAAAGTTGTAGAGAGTCATGATCTTTTACTTCTCTAAACGCCGCGACACACAGGAAGAATATATGTATGTAGAATAGTTTGGTGTGTGTATATATATACTTTGAAACATCTGTCAGTATGTAGATTCATTTGCAGTTAATAATGTGTGTTAAGTCGGGCGTTCCTTTCGGCTCTGTTCCATTGGATGGTCAGTTATTTTGGGCCAAACTGGTTTAATTTGAATGGACCAGGCTCTTATTTCCAAACCGTGGATGCCGATGTCAGTAGGGCTAGTCTCTGAGCTATTTCAGATACACGCCCCTGGCGAACAATCTATCCAATGCTGCTACGGGCCATGAATTAAAGAAAAAATTAGGGGAAAGTTGGCGAACGAAAATGAAAACACGTGAAATGGCGGACATTGGAAATAGGATGATTGAATTCATAGGGGAGAGAGATACAGAGAGAAAAGGAAATGTTATGAATGAGACATTGGGGTGCGGAACGGAACGAATGTGGAAAAGAAGAGGAAGAAATGTTGAAACAAAAAGAGATTATAATAAAAAATCAAATAAAAAAAAACTATTTAAAACCGAACATTTTTTTACCGATATTAAAGGAAACGTAAATTATGACAGACGAAAAGAAAATGATGCAAAACAAAAACAAAGAAAATAACAAAAAACAAAAAAGTATATAATGTGTTATTTGAAAAGAAATAGCCAAACCAAGAATGGGAAAGAAAACAAACAAAGGAGAATGAAAGAAACGATGATTAAATGAGTAGAAAGAAAGAAAGAAAGAAAGAAAGAAAGAAACAAACAAACAAACAAACAAACAAACAAACAAACAAACAAACAAACAAACAATGTATGAATCGCAGATTAAATGAGTGGAGAGACCAAGCAAGAAAGAATGAATGAGTGGAGAAAGAAAGCAAGCAAGAAAGAAAGGGAGGATGGAAGACTAATTAAATAAGTTGAAGATACAAAAGAATTATAAGAAATAGAAAGAATGTGAAATTAATTGCATCCAAAAGTAGAAAGAAAGAAAGGAATAAAGAGAGTGAGAAAAAGTGATTAAATTAGTGGAAAAAGAAAGAAATACCGAATAAATCATTGAAAAAAAATGGAATGAATGAAACACTGAGCACATGAGTGGAGAAATAAATAAATAAATAAATAAATAAATAAAGTAAATAAATAAATAAAGAAAGAAAGAAAGAAAGAAAAAGGATTGCTGATTAAATTAGTGGAAAAGAAGGAAACATCGAATATATGAGTGGAAAAGTTGAAAGAAAAAAGAAAGAGTGAAATACTGATTAAATGAGTGGAAAAGAAAGAAATAAAGAAACAGAGAAAGAAAGAAAGAAACACTGAATAAATGAGTAGAAAAGTCCAAAGAAAAATGAAAGATAGAAAAGAATCAGCTGGCTACTGAAAAAAATCTCTAAAGCTGAGAGGTCAATATGGAATAAGGTGTATATTTGGAACATCGAATTAATGATTTGATCGAAGCTCTGCCTTCAGCTGGATCTATTCCTTGTTTTAGCGTCTGGGCCAATTCCTGCTTTCAGTCGATTTTGTTTTCATATGTAATTCCTGATCCTCGAAAGTATGGTCAAGTGAAATGGGCTCGATTCCCAATATTAAGCCACCAGTGTTCATTTATAGATCATAATATCTTAATTTATCTTACATCGAATTCCTTGGGTGTCCCTGGCTACTGGCAAAGGAGACAAAGATTAAGTTGGTGTAGAAGGTTTATTTACGTAAGATTGGTTTGCGTTTGAATTAAGTAAAATAAGAATAATTGATATCGTTTCTGATTTGTGTTTTTTATAGTTTAGTCGCCCTTTGTGTGTTATTTAATATCGAAACGTATTTTGGATTGCAGCGAGTTGCTTCATCATGTGCAATCTATGCCAGAATACTAGTCGAGAAATGATCGCTCTCGGCTGCGGCCATGAGAGAGAAAGTCTGTAGGGATTTTATTATTATTATTAATGAATAAAAATAAAATAGACAATAATAATAATAATGAAATTATAAATAAACTAAAATAAAACAATAACATTTAAACTTTGTTTAAAATTAAATAAAAAATAAAGATAACACAAACTCTCCCAGCATGCAGCAAAAACTGATTTTGCTGGAAATACGTACATCCAGCCAAAAGATGTTAAATGCAATCTATTCACCACGAACCTTCAGGCAGGCAACATGTGCCTAATTTCTCTCTGTGATATGGCGTGTAATAATGTTGAGGGACTTCTCCCTTTTATCACATTTAACATAAAGTAATTGTAACCTAAACATTACACACCCCAATATACACAAAAATATAAATAAATTGTATGAAATTAACGTACAATTTGCGATGTCTTTATCGTTACGTTTTATATCTGCGACGGATGTTTTATTCCCCTAATTTCTGCTGCTATGATGTGAGTGACAAACAGAGTAATTAATACAGGGGCCGAAGCATTACTTATATTATAAGCCCTACGAAGCGCGTTATAACTGGTTCTAAATAAGTGAAAAAGGTGAAAGAAAAAATGAAAGATTGCTTAAATGAGTAGAAAAGCCTAAAGAAAGAAAGAATGAATGGATAAAGAACGGAAGAAAAAAGACAAAGATAAATAAGGAAATGCTGATTAAATAAGTAGAAAAGAAGAAAGAAATACCTATTAAATGCATGGAAAATGTTAATGAAAGAAAGGAAAAGAATAAAGAAAAAAGGTAAGAGAAAAGAAAAACACTGATTTAATGAGAGGAAAATGAGAAAGAAAGAAAGAAAGAAAGAAAGAAAGAAAGAAAGAAAGAAAGAACCAGATATCGACTGAGTGGAGAACGAGAATTAAAGAAAGAAAAAGAAACTGATAAAAAGAGTGGAAAAGAAAGAAAGAAAGAAAGAAAGAAAGAAAGAAAGAAAGAAAGAAAGAAAAAAAGCATGAAGAAACACTGAGTAAATTAATTGAAAAGGAGAAAGAAAGAAAGAAAGAAAGAAAGAAACAAACAAACAAACAAACAAACAAACAATGTATAAATCGCAGATTAAAAGTGGAGAAAGCAAGCAAGAAAGAATGTATGAAACACTGATCAAATGAGTGGAGAAAAAAAGGGAGGATGAAAGACTAATTAAATAAGTTAAAGATACAAAAGAAATGAAAATAAAAGAGAACGAAACGGTGATCAAATGAGTGGAGAAGCAAGAAAAGAAGAAAGAAAAAACTGGATGTCAAGATGGAAAAAAAAAAAGAAAGAAAAAAGAAAAAATGACGAAATGATTTTGGCTCAGTTGGATCCAGACTTTATTCATGAATACAATGGTTGGGTTTAGGTATAGTTTTATCATTTTACGTACTTCCTGATTGTTAATATTTTCTGATATTAGTTAAACTGCCCCCAAAAAAGAAATATTATCTAGAATTGGAATGAAAGGAGTTATGGATAATTACTAAACACTTCAAATACCTCGGTGTCTAGATCAGTAATAACATTTTCTTATAGGAAGACATAAACATAGAATCGGCTGCGCTTGAGGTAGATTTGTAGAAGACCGCAAGGTCCGACAAAGCCAAAACATTATTCTCGGGTCATGCTTCCAAATAGCTTCGTCGGATCGAGATTTTCATATTGATGCCATGCATGGTGCCAAATATGTTCAGAAATATAAAATCCCTCGGCTGTATACAATTGTTTTCTAATGTGCCTTCGAGTGAATGAAGCCTGTAGGCCTTAACGAGGTCCACCTTCTTGTCAACAATTGCTATGGAATTAAAAACAAGGAACTCTATGAAATAAACAACATATTTACAGGAATTTCAATAAACGCAACAACCAAATTGGATAGCGAATGTAACTCGAAGAGAACATAAGGACATAATCAAGATGTAGTCTTTCCACAATACTTCAAATAAAAGGTTCGGAAGGAAACCTCAATAAATACGAGAAAGGGCAATTTCAGTGGACCTGAGAAATTAATTTTACGTTCAGAAATCTCTAAAGTGTCAGCTATATACAACCGTTTCCTAAGATCAATGGTGTAAAAACTTAAGGGTCTTGGTAAATATCCCCCAAATAACAAAAATTACATCACGTGAGGACTATCAACACAGCAACAACTAAAATGGATAGTAAATGTAAGTTGAAGAGTAAATAATGATATAATTAAGATGTTAACATTCTGCGCCACTTGAAACGAAAATTCAGGAAGGAAACTCCCATCAATACAAGAAAAAGCGATAGAAGCTACTACACTCCAGAAACCTGATTTCCTAAAAGAAAATATTTTAAGGGAAATATTTTCTTATAAATTTCAACCAAAAACAAGACTGGCTGCTCGGTTAATGAATGCCAAATAATTTCTTATACGGAAACGTTTAATATTACCATTACTATTAAATTGTTATTCCTTAAGTAAATGTCATTTTTTTCTTTCTGTTGCAGCAACGGCTTTCGCTAACATCATGGTCCCCTGCCAGTCTGACGAAGTGTTTCACTGTGATGGTGACAATCAGAATTGTATTCCACAGGCCCTGAAATGCAATGGGATAAGTGAGTGCAGTAATGGAAGGGACGAAAGTGTCAAAATTTGCGGTAAGTTTTTTTTTTTACTTTACAATTTGCATGTGCAAGTGTTTCCAACACATAAAGAAACACGTTTGTATCCCTGTTCTAAGATACTGATTACAAAAGAAATGAAGTCCAGTCATAAATAATTTCCGCTTTGAGGAACAAGTTTTAATCACGAATTCAATCAACTAACCGCTCCGTGAATATATCAAAAGTTGGTTAAATACGACAATGTTCAACACAATAGATAAAATCTCAACGACCAACCACAGCAGCTGACTTTCATGGAGGAAGAATTCATTTGTACGTGATCTTCAGTGTATTATTAAGTTCTTTAAACGGAATTAAACACATATTTATACATAAATACAGATGCTATTAATTCTGAAAATGCACACTAATCTGATAGGTGACAGGTCTTTTACTTCAGCGTTATCATCATTATCATCTATGTCATATTTTTTCGAACGTGGGCGATCATGGCTATCCCTAATTTACCATGCCTTGCAGCACGTTTATCTTTTTGCTATCTCTGTCACCGACCTCATTCTGTCAGATATTTTTGCATGCTAATCACCAAAAATATATTTCTTTTTAAAATGAAAGATGTAATATTTCAAAATTTAAGCCGGACCACGTGTATATCATATGAATATATTTTAATTTACTATTAACTTATATATATATATATATATATATATATATATATATATATATATATATATATATATAGAGAGAGAGAGAGAGAGAGAGAGAGAGAGATCAGTTTTAAGCTGTATTCCCTAGATGTAACCGTAAGTTCTATGCTAACAGTTTCTTCTGTCGCACTTCTCGCTTGTGGAAGTCTCTCCATGGTAATATCTTTACGATGTCATATACTTTCCCACGCAGGACCCCCGTTGCGTCTTAGTATTTCCGTTGAAATGATTTAAAAATGTTTCGCCTATCTTCTAAAAATTATTTACATTGTTCAGACTGTCCACAACGTTTCCGCCATTTTATTCTCCAGCCTTATTCAAGTGACTGGAACTTTGAACTGAGCCCTTTATTTCGTCCACTGGGGTAGACTGTTCTAGTTCCACGTGCCACGCCGCTTCGGGATTTCTCAGTTATCTCCCTTTAACTCATCTCTGCAAGTTTTTGTTCACCACTGCTTTAGCCAGGTATTGAACTCACAACGCTTTCAGTGAAGTCACTGGATCCAACCCACGCTTTTATCCACTGGGACAAAGATTTTTGGTGAATAACAATTCATTGCCAAATATTGGTTGCATAATAAAATCTGACATGTACTCCGTCATTACTTTAGTAAGGAAACATTATTTCATGAGTTACGTGATCTACTCAGACAATTTAATTTATTTTATGTAAATATTACTTTCCTTTAGAAATTCATTGGAAATATCATTTTACTGAAAAAATACTTTCGAAATTTGGGAAGAGTCATTATCATCGAAAGTTATGTTCCGACTATTAAATTTGTTCTTTCAATTTTTTATTTTTTCTGTGAATAGAAAAATGTTTGCATATGAGCAGGATGTAAAACGCGTCTTCGTTGTATACTCTTCTTAAATGTGACCAAATTTCCATTATTTTTTTTTTTTGGAGGGTGTTTCAGCAACTCGTCAAAACAATATATTGAAATTCAATTTTACTAGAAAATACATTGGAAATACACCGTCTATCATTCTGGAAAGAAAAGTGATTATTATTCCAACAATTGTTCGGACAATTAAATCTATTCTTTTTAAACGATTTTTCTAGGTAAATAGATCAAAAGAAACTAGAGGAGAAGCGCTGAAATATTTTCAGCCCAACCCGCATTCTACATCTGACTAAATGACTATACAGAAGATTTTTTGTACGAACAGCTTGTTCAGGCCGAGTATTTTTCAACGCCCTCTCCTAATAATACATTAAAATCAATTTTAACGGTGGTGAGTACGACCATTAGAAATATACCACGTGATTTTCAGAAAATGTTATCATTCTGAGATTAAATTAGATACAGTCGAATGTATGTATATTTATGTTTTAGATATAAGTAATTACAAAAAATCATTTTATTCGTATTTACACTGTGTCAAATGAATTATAAATGATTTTATTTGGACCTAGTGTGACTGGATCATGATGCTCAACTACAGAATATGATTGTGAAGACATCAAAACAACCAACCGCTGTCTTCAAGTAGGGAGAAAGGAAGATAATAAATAAATGCAAAATTTAGGGCTCAAGTTCCACTCGGAGGGAAAGTATGGAATTCCGGCCATGGGCTTATATACGTAGATTTTCAGTAAAAAGTCAGTTACAAGCAAGTCGTTGGGTAGAGGCACGGGCACTCAGAGTAATTGGTGAGAGTTGCAGTCGCTGTCGAGATACAAACACAGTTTCAATTGGAAAGGGGTAGAGAGACAGTCTGATTTATCGCTAGCCAAAGGGAAGATTTGGTCGGTTATTCTGTAATTAGAAAAAATAAAAGTAGTGCAGATGTTTCCAATTTCATTTAAAAACCTACTGGATCAACGATTAAAGTAGGAATAAAGAATAAAGAATTTGTGTTTTTTTTTTTTTTTTGTTTGTTTTTTTTTGTATCTTTTGTTTTGTTCTTAGCCTTGATTTTAGTTCAGCTACCGGTCCCACTCAGCGTGCCTTTTTCATGTTACCTTTGCCTCTTTCTTTGCTTTACGTTTCTATTTCTACTTTTCTATTTTATTTATTTATTTTGTTCACACCGATACAAACTGCAATGTAATCACGGCACGGGGTTACGGTTCAGGTTAAACTGTTTGAATTGAATTTGCAACCACTATGTCCAAATTCACAAATCAAAACTTGCATCCACTATGTCGTAGGATATTTTGCTATAGATTAAAGCATTAAATTTAACCATTAGGTTGTAACCGCTGCTGTCTGACATGTTTTCACTGCTGTTCATGTTTTGATTCCCGCTACAGTTGAAAACTTGTTGTCATTTGTCTTTCTTTCTTTACTACGAACGAGACATCCCTCGACCTGAACAGTGGAACGAGAACAGTCTACCCTCGTAAATTAAATAAAGGGTTCAGTCCAGAATTTCCTGTAGGTTACCCAGAACTATATACACCTGAGGAAGTCCGAAGGATACAACTTCTGAAACGTAGTGATAATTACAACAAAGACGAGGACAATAGTCCGAGTATAAGTAGTGTAAATAATCAAGATCTTTTACTATATTTTGTATTTATTTTCTTTTAAGAAAGGTAAAATGTGACTCTGAACATGTACTGAGTATTTTTCGAAATTTGAAGCTGAGAGAAGGAAATGAATATACTACTCACAAAAAATCAACGTTATACAATGCAAAAGGCAACAAAAACAATAAGACTGAGTGCAAAATAATAAATTGAGCGACATTAAGGAGTGAGATAATAGAAGGGTAGTCAAGAAGACAGTAGATAACGATTGACATTGAATTTAAATTTTTGCAAACCAAAATTGACTTGAAAAGCAAGAAGCCTGAAGAGAGTTTTACAAGAGAAAGGTGCGAAAGAAGAAACTGTTAGCATAGAACTTACGGTTATAGCTAGCCACTTCATGCGTAAATTGATGAAACCTTGTTGTCAGTCTGGTACTCCACTTAAATTCGAAAAATATTGGTACCTAAGAGTAAAGCTATATTCATTTAGTATAAAATGCAAAAATCTGGCACAATGCCAAAATAGTGGATGGGGAAGAACTGGTTTTCTTTTGTACTCAGAATGTTGTCTACATACAGGTTGTGATGGATAAATTGTCGTCTAAATTACGCAAAAATGAAAATAACAATGACATCTCATTTTATACATTCAATATACAATGTCCTTTGTCATTAATGAGGATTCCTAAAGAAATCTCTAAAAATTTTCCTTTTCATTCTCTCAGAAATTAACCATCTTCTGACAGTCCTTAAATTGTTCTCAACACAATGAGTCTCCTTGTACTTCTTGATAATGATATGAATTGTCGTTCACAGAACATTTAAAAGATTGGAAAATCATGTCAGTGTTTGAAGAGGAATGAATTATCGCAGTACGTGGCACTCATATATTGTTTCTTCATTACCTTTAAGAATTTTATAGAATCAGGTCAATATAATTTCATTTTCAAAAGGTGTTTGTATTAAATATCAAAATAAGAGAAAAAATTACACTTGCGATAAAGCAATATTATTTAATCATATTCATAAAAGGGGCGAATAATTTGGGACTGCACTTTTAGAAAATTCTATAGGTATGAATATAATAGATCGAAACTTTTAAAGTTTCAAAACTAAAAACGGAATCAATTATTTATGGTAAATTTAGTAAGTACATGCAAATATTCGCATTTCCTTAGGAAATTTTAAATATTCAGTTGGGGAGAATAATTCCACACACACACACACACACACACACACACACACACACACACACACATATATATATAGACATATATATATATATATATATATATATATATATATATATATATATATATATTGTCTATATATGTATGAGAATATTGTCAATATATTTATACAGATAGGATTTAATGAGATTCAAAATGATTTCTAGCAAAATGATTTCTAGCAAATTTTTGATTTTTGCAATATTAATGATCAAAATCTACTTAAAAGAAATTCATCATGCTTGCTTGTAATTACAGAAAGACAACTCTTTTAAAATATTTTAATTCTGGATAAACATATTTTCCAAATATGACATGCCCTTTAACCATTTTAACGTCTACTATTACTTAACGAGTTACCAGGCGTTCCTTTTTTAAGCTTTAAGTCATCTTTTTTTCTTATTATTTTACAATAGCCCCCTACCTACACTCTAAATTTTATATTTACACCCCAATAATATATTTAGTTTACATTTGATTTGAGCTTTGAAACTGCGTTTAATTTAACATTCCTCCAATGAGACACGGTATTCTTTAAAAAAAAATAAAAGAAATAATTCATGTCTGATGAGTTGGTGGAACAACAAAACTTTAAGTTGCAAGTCATATATATATA